AAAATATTCCCTATGATGATAATAGGTGGGATATAATGAGTTTTGTGTGTAAAATCAAAGGTGATTTTTGTCATTTGGCCGCCTGTTTGATGTGCAGTGAAAACTGGATAAACCAGTTTATATTTGTTTACAAATACAAAGATAGCTGTGAGTAGACTATTTTGTCAAATTTTTGTAAGTTTTTGAAACAGTAATGTGTTTCTTGAGGAAGGTATTCGTTGCAAACAATGTTACCTTCTTTAAGGAGGCTAAAGCTATGTAACCCGTAATCTTGACAGTCTTGTTGAAAAACGAAAAAATAAAACAAACCTTGAGTTCTGTTTATATTACACAATTTTTGTTGTTCTAATGACAAAAGGGTGTCTAAGATATTGTTTCCCATGTTTTTTTCATTGTTTTAACTGAACATTTAGAAAGAAGCTGAATGTATATATTTATTAATGGCTTAGGGGCACAAAGAGGACAATAAATATTGTTCTTTTGAAATCTGAAAAACATCTCTAGCTAACCAAGCAAAAAGACTTGTAAAAATGGGAATGAAAAAGGGAATGATCCCCAGCTTCTGCTGATTCACAAAAGTTTCAGATAGCATATGTTTTTATAGCTAGACATTAGAATTAAGATAGCATGGGTTTATTTTGTTGCAGTCTTCCTTTATTTCCCATGTATTTAGAAATAGATTATACAAAATGTTTTGCTTGCCAATTGAGTGATTTCATAAATGAATAGAAAACATTTAGGTTTCTCTGACATTGATTTACGGAGACAATTGGAGCAGCACTTACTGAAGGCACCTTCTGGATGTCCTAGAATAAGAAGCAACAGCATGTGCTGCTCCTGATTTTTCTTGTCTTTTGATTTCTTGGCCAACCTGCAGCCTCCATCTCTAGCACAGTGGGATCACCATAATTTCACAGACATGGTCTGGAATTTGTGTCCTTACCCAAATATGAAGAATAAATTTATGAAAGACGTTTTTTTGTGAGACTTTATTTAATGCACCTCTGTGTTAAGTATCTGAGAAACTTAGTGACTACCTTATAATGATGATATACAGCAAATACTCAGCTTGTTTTTCAAATACTGTTAATAAAAATCACAGTACTTTATTAATTTCCAGCCAGAATAAAATTAAATTCCAGTGGGATCCCTTTTTAAACCTACTTGGGTTTATACACATTTTAGCCCCCCCTATGTTTTATATGGTGAATTTTGTAGACTAATTAATGGGGAAAAGTGACAATTTGAATTAAAAAAATACTCATTACAATTATTATCCAGTGGCAAGGATGACAATAGAAAAATGTAGCATAGGAATGCAATAATTCATTGCATTTTAAAAACAAAGTCTTCAGCTAAGATATTTAGGTGGAGAGGGTGGATAGAAATAGCATAATGTTGAGCTACTTTGCCTGTCTTGATAAAACCGGCCCACCTTTTGCCCAGATATCCAAAAAGAATTTCCCTACTTGGTATGGTTTGATAGGTTATTTTTTTTTTTTTTTGCATCTTGAAATGCATAAAATATTTTTTGTATGAAGTAATGGCCATAGACTTTCCAAATTTCCCAAAATAAAACCTTCCAGTCATACCAAATAGCAGTGTTCTACTTTTGGACAGCAGGGAATTGAGGCAATAAGTTATGGGTTTGTATAATTCTTTTGCACTTATAAGATTAAAGTTCTCTTTCTGGACTTCTTGAGATTGCTGACTTTTAACAGTGTGACTGTTAAGTAAGGGTTTTCCAAAATTCAACTATTAATACACACAAGCTTTTAAGCATGTATAGTGTGTTTTTATCCTTTCAGAGCTTAGCCTCTTAGATATAGATATAGAGTATACTAAACTTTTAAAAAGTTTTTATTTATTGCAACCCTTTCTCAACTATCCTGCTTTGTATTTATTTTATAGAAATAGTAAAGGAGGAGAAAGCAAAATTCAGGCATTGACTATTCTAATGTTAGTTACTTGTTTAAAAACTATAAATTGAGTACTTTTATACACACTAAATTATCTTTAAAAATAGAAAAACCATATTTCTTTCCCATGGCTTGTCCTTCCAAAAAATGTATTGTTCTAGGTTTGTCCCCATGACCCATTTTTTCTTCCAGCCTGTTGTGCTATGAGCCACATGGGATTATCTAAAAGGAAAAACAAGGCAGGCATCGATTACTCAGGTAAAGAAGAGAGGCAACCAAATCAGGATCTCCTAATTTCTAGTATTCATGCCATTTCTCTATAAAATTTCAAATTCTGTGCGCCCAGTGACTAGCCCAGGTAACTAAGGACTCTCGGATACCTGGAAGGAGGAAAGGACACTAGCTTGGAGTTGTCTGGGAGCTTTCTGTGGAGGATTAGGACTTGACCTGGATTTGAAGATGGGGCAGGACTTCTGTAAACAGCAGGAGGGAAGTCTCTTGGGGTGCCAACAGAAGGGTCAGTGAGCACAAAGGCATGGGGTGTACATGAGGCTGTTTTATCAAGAGAACTATAAATGATTTGTGGTAAATAAACATTGATTAGTAAAATGGAACTAAGTGTGGAGGATCTTGAATGAGAAGAAAAGGATTTAAGTTTACTTCTGTAGCAAGTTTTCTTTAGATTTTTGAGGAAAGGCACAAGATTAAATTCAGACTTACAAACAAAGTAGTTAAAACCAATAGCTTCTCAATATATAAAATTTTTCTAAAAAGAGCCTTGTCCCAACACATACAGAAATAGAAGATTTACTATATATGCCGGGTTTTATTCTGTGTGCCATTTTTGGGAAACTAATTTTCCAAGCCCAATGGCTTACGCATTCTATTTTCAGAGATGCCCTACAAGTTTACCCCAAAACACTGGGGGGATGGCCGAGAGAAAGCCAGGCAGGGTTCAAAAGGAAATCTCAATTGATTCTCCAGGAAAGAGCTTACATTTCTTCATTTCAAAGCATCAGAAAGTCCTGGGTTCAATTCCCACTTCACATATCTGCAGAATGAAACATTATTTTTTTTTTAATTATAAGACACTGTGATGAATTACAGCGGGAAAGTGGAAGGACAAAAAAAGGGGGGGAATTAATAGTTGACACCTTTATAGTGTTTATCATTATTTAGAAGATAAACAGTAAAGCAATATTTTATAATTCCTGTTGCTTGAAGCAGTATTCTTAATGTCACCTAAGCCACTCAGCTTATTAGACGTAGAAAATGTTGCCCCTGGTATTAATATTTTACTTCTATCCCCTTTCCTCTTCAGTTCCTATTTTGTCATAGGTCAAGCATCCCATCTTGTACAAAATGCCCCCATCAGATGTCAACTTTGTCCCAGTTCTGCCACCAGAAATCACAAATAATGCTGCTGAAGTTGTCTTGAAGTGCTAAAGCAGTCATAATTTCAATTTCTTGTTCTTCTAGATTAGTCTGTTGCCTCTCATTCTAGTTCTTTTGGCAGTTGCACCTGTGGTTTGAAGGAAAGGGGAAAATTAATACTGGGAATTTAACAAATTTACAACAAAATTTACAAAGTTTCTATGTCTCAAAGAATGAAGAACGGATTCGAAATTCTAGCCAGAGAGCCCCCTCAGATTATGAGAAAATACATGCTGACAACTACAGCCACCATTTACTGGGCATTTACTGAGGCAGGGATGGACACCACGGTTTGAGGTACACAGGGAAGCCCATCCCAGAAACAAGGGGGTGTTGAGTCTGCCTGGGCTCAAGTCCTAATTTAGCACTTACTATGAGGTGTTGGACATCAATTTTGCCTGCTGTAAAATCTAAATCACAGGACTGTTTGGGATTACATAATATCATGAAATTTTGTAATCAACATTAACCTATTTTTAAACCATTTTCTCACTTTATTTAACAAAAGCCTTATAAGCAGGGGGCCTCCCTAGTGGCACAGGGGCTTGAGATGCAGCCTGTGAGGCTGTCCACAGTCCCTGCAGCGCGGGGTTCGATCCCTGGCCAGGAGCTGCCCACATGGCGCAGCAGACCTCTCCTGGCTTGCCCACTGCTCCTGTCAGCAGTGTATTTCAGTCATTCTGCCTGTTCTGTTCCCCACTCTGTCTGATGGATCCTCTCAGTCCCCGAACCTCTGGCCTGTACCCCAGTTCTGTATGCATAGATAAATAAATCTTTCAAAAAAAAAAAAAGCCTTATAAGCACGGAAGAAGCTCAGAGAGGGTAAGAAATTTACTTAAGGTCACACAAATTGGAAGTAGCAGAGCAGGATTTAAACCCAGATCTGCCTCATTTTAGTTCTTATACCGTTACCACTAAAACATAACCAAAAGGACTACCTCAAGAATATAATAATATGTTCCTTTCAAAACTGGGCTTTCCTCTTTGAAGCACACTCCTAATTTTAGACTTATTAAAATGTTAAAATATTAATTGAGGAACTCCCAAGAGCAAAAAGATTACAGAAGAGTAGCATAAATCTGATTGCAAATCCACTTTATAGCTTTGCTTCATAGGAACAACTTAAAGATAAAGCAAATTCTTAAAGAATCTCAAATGGTGTTGTATCTTGGGAGGGTGACTCATCATCATGCAAGTATCTTTCAGAGAACACCAAGGAAGTCCAGAGGACACTCAAAGTTTATTCAGTCATGACTAAGAGTATTTCCTCTTCTGTTTCTCGTATCCACCTGCTGATGTGAGAACCATTTTGACCATCTGCTATGGCTCCTCGAACAGCTAGTTTTCTGCCCATGACTTTTGGCTGGGAAGGCTTTCTAATATCGTGCCCACCAGAAAGGACCTTTGATGTGCTTCTGTGTGTACCGCCTTCACAGCAAAGGGTCGGCATGTGCCTCTTACCCTCTCCCTCCCAAGAGCCAGACTTTCACGAAGGAAGGGGTGTTAGATATAATCTTAGTAGCCTTCCCTCAGAGAGCATTGATGAATACAAAGTATCATACCAAGTATTTATAACAACCCAAAGCTGTAATAAATAATTATAACTGTGTTCTTTGCATTAATGAATGGAAAAAAAATGTCATTTTCTGTATGTTTTGATATATACAAGGAAGGATTCAAAAATAATAAAAATCATAAAAATATGTGACCCTGACCCAAAATAGTAAACCCAGATGTGGTGACTCATTTAAACATAACCAAGCTGGCAGGAAAGGTCACTGGTAAAAAGAGGAGTAGCATAAATCTACTATTTAAAATCAAATCACTATTTAAAAAAATAAATAAAAAGGAATCTTGCTTACTTACATATATGATATGTAATCATTTAATTTATCTGTAAAATCAAATATTCTTAAAAACAAAACCCTAAAAGAATCAAGAAAAGATAGGCAGATGTTGTATTAATCTTTAGAGAGGCCTTTTCTTTTTCTTGTTTTGAATTTTTTTTATTTTATATATTTCTTATTTCTTACATCATTTTTCATTTTGCACAAAATTTGCATTTTCATCTTAGTTATAGTTCCCATACAATTCCCACCACCTTCAGAGAGGCCTTTTCTAAGCAGAAAACAAAAACCAAATCATAAAGGAAAAAGAGCTGGAAATGATGTTCTTAAAACTTACAGACAGGGAAGAATCAACTTGCAGTATTGTTAGGGTCCCTGTTTCTCCTTCACTTGTTGGTTAAAATTAGTTTTTAGAAGTGTGTGTGGTGTGCATGCACGTGTATGTATAGTATCACACAGCGCACACATCTACATGTACTCCTAGAGACTGGGGTTGGGTAGGTGGGAAGGTCTATTTCAGCTGTGGTGATATAATTGGGCACACCTGAATCAAGTTCCTGCTCTGGCCAACACCTCAGTGGGTGTCCAGGATAGAGGTGAGGGAGACCTGTCCTGAAGACTCATAGTCTCCTAGGAGACCTATATTGTATCCATAAGGGTTCTAAACTAAAGCACAAACAAGGAAATACTGTAAAAGAGGTATAGAAATGGGATGGAAATACAAGAGAAGAACATTCATTAATGGCGTTTTGCTTGGATCTCTTTCATGTAAGAAGTCAATATTTAATCAAGTCATTTTATTTCAAAGAAGTGAATGAAGAGATTCGAAATTCTAGCCAGAGAGCCCCCCTCAGATTATGAGAAAATACATGCTGACAACTACAGCCACCATTTACTGGGCATTTACTGAGGCCAGGGATGGACACCACGGTTTGAGGTACACAGGGAAGCCCATCCCAGAAACAAGGGGGGTGTTGAGTCTGCCTGGGCTCAAGTCCTAATTTAGCACTTACTATGAGGTGTTGGACATCAATTTTGCCTGCTGTAAAATCTAAATCACAGGACTGTTTGGGATTACATAATATCATGAAATTTTGTAATCAACATTAACCTATTTTTAAACCATTTTCTCACTTTATTTAACAAAAGCCTTATAAGCAGGGGGCCTCCCTAGTGGCACAGGGGCTTGAGATGCAGCCTGTGAGGCTGTCCACAGTCCTGCAGCGCGGGTTCGATCCCTGGCCAGGAGCTGCCCACATGGCGCAGCAGACCTCTCCTGGCTTGCCCACTGCTCCTGTCAGCAGTGTATTTCAGTCATTCTGCCTGTTCTGTTCCCCACTCTGTCTCTGATGGATCCTCTCAGTCCCCGAACCTCTGGCCTGTACCCCAGTTCTTGTATGCATAAATAAATTTTTTCAAAAAAAAAAAGCCTTATAAGCACGGAAGAAGCTCAGAGAGGGTAAGAAATTTACTTAAGGTCACACAAATTGGAAGTAGCAGAGCAGGATTTAAACCCAGATCTGCCTCATTTTAGTTCTTATACCGTTACCACTAAAACATAACCAAAGGACTACCTCAAGAATATAATAATATGTTCTTTCAAAACTGGGCTTTCCTCTTTGAAGCACACTCCTAATTTTAGACTTATTAAAATGTTAAAATATTAATTGAGGAACTCCCAAGAGCAAAAAGATTACAGAAGAGTAGCATAAATCTGATTGCAAATCCACTTTATAGCTTTGCTTCATAGGAACAACTTAAAGATAAAGCAAATTCTTAAAGAATCTCAAATGGTGTTGTATCTTGGAGGGTGACTCATCATCATGCAAGTATCTTTCAGAGAACACCAAGGAAGTCCAGAGGACACTCAAAGTTTATTCAGTCATGACTAAGAGTATTTCCTTCTTTTCTCGTATCCACCTGCTGATGTGCCATGGACCATTTTGGCTCCTAAGGTTGCTTTCTGAACATTATTTTCTGAAGTCTTTAAAAGGGAAATTTAGCATGTCTTGGTACCAGAAGCAGTCCAGATGTGCATCTGGTGTCCAAAATCACAGAGTAAGGGTTAAAATAGTGCTTGTTCGCCTCCCTCAGAAAGTTGCATACTATACAAATGCAGCTAACCTCAGTGAATATAATTTGTTGCCTTGTTCTTTGATCTCAATGAAAAATACAAATATCATAATGAAGGTATTGATAACACAAAAATTTTAAATAAAAAAATCATAATTTTATAAGGGAGGGAAAATGTACAAGCCTGTATGTTGGGTTTATATACATAATTCAAGTTAGTAACAAAGGGAAATGAATTAGACATTACCAATAAATCAGTTGGTTAATAATCATAAAAGTTTTAAAAAAAATAAAAAAAAGCAGCAAAATTCTAATTCTTACTTACAAAATAAGTATGGAAATGTAACAGACTAATGTTATCAGTAAAATATGGTATTCTTGAAAAAAAACTGGAGAGTCCATTACCAAGAATACATTGCCTGAAGAAGAAGTTTAATACACTGATATAGCAAATTTGTATCATGCAAATAAATATAAGCCCAATGTGACTCAAGCTGATGTTTCAGGGGATACCAGCCATCTGGATGTTTTCATGTGATATTTAAAAATATATATAATAATAAAACCAAAAAAACCAGGCCTGCATATTTTTCCTATAGTCTACCAGTTTTGAATACCTGGTTCACAGATTACATCTCTCCTGAACTGAATTAAACAGGCAATTTTTTGGAGAAGATAGCATTTGAGCCAAGCAAGTATAGAGATTTTCCTTTACTCTTTGCTAGCAACTTTAGTTTAGGGACCTCAATCCGAAAGCATTGAGTAAAAGGGAAAAACATTAAAATGAAAAAATATACAATTAAAAAATATAAACTGCTTAAGGAGATGTGCTCTTAACACAAATAGAGTATTTTCACATCCATGAGAGGAAAAACTAATGTTTTTTTACTGTTTAAATTTCTAAGAATGATTTATAAGTATGATTTTGTACTTATACATTTAGTTTATACTTAACATTTTAGTTAGGTACATCAATTAAAAAAATCACAAGATTTCAAAATTTTATTTTAATTTTAACCTCATACTTGAAAATCTAGGGTTTGGAGGGCTTCTCTGTTCCCCAGTGTATGTGAGGGGAAAATCCCCAAACTCTTTAATTTTATCTCCCTAGGTGAACATGCTTGTGACTTAATTTTCTGGCCAAAAGTATTTCTTGCTGCTGGAATTTTGTAATATCACCACTGATATCATTTACAGTATTTCGTTGAATTTAAGATGCACAATTTTGATGTTTTCCAACAGCTCTGAAATCAGAAAGCACCTTTCAATCCATGTTGCATTACAACAGCTGGCTACAGGTGCAGGCAGGAACACACGTTACCCTTTCACACTGTTAGCATGACAATTGAGCTGTGTGTCCCACTGGAACCATGTACAGGCAGATGCAGTGCATTCATTTTTTTCCTATAATTCACTCTTTATTTTTTTAATATTTTATTTTTATATAGCTCTTACATCATTTTTCATTTTTTGCACAATGTATGTATTTTCATTTTGGTTATATTCCCCATACAATTGCAGTGCGATTTAAAATATCTTTTAATGAATGATAAAGCAAATGTGGCACAATGTTATGGGTATATAAGAATTCTTTGTACTATTTTTGAATTTCTAGAAATCCAAGATGACATCAAAATAAAAAAATTAAAAACTCATTTAAAAGATTACACTATGATTCAGCATTAAAGCAGATTTTTATTGCGTATGCAGCCAGCACAAAAATGAACAACAGGAAGCAGATTGCTCTTAGAGAAGTGAATTGTCATCAATGAAATCATGGGTTTCACATTTTTCTCAAGATTATGTGCATGAATTTGTGTGATATTTTGGATCTGAGGTACATACAAAGAGATGGTTCTCACCATTCAAGCCAGGCAAATGAAAGCAGGAGAAACTGTTAATCCCTTGGACTAGATGAAAGAGATTTCAAAGCAGAGGCTGATATGCAAGACCATCATGCCAAATTCATGCAGCCTTTACTGTAGTGCATGCTTTTCTTTCTTAGTGGACATTAAAAGCAAAGAAACATCTTAAAATTGGTAACCTTTTAGAATTGATTATAGACGAAAAACGTAGAACTTACTAGGGCATTGCATTTCTGTGGTTATCATCATGAAATTACTTTGATCTTTTATTCTAGGATTTGGACTCAAAACCAAAGTGTTCTCAGTTGATTAAAAGGCAGAGAGTCATAACCACGAAAATGATAAAACCAACATTGTAAGCTCTGTGAGGTCAAGACTATACGTGTCTCATTAAGCACTGAAGCCCCTGACCCTTCTGAGGGGGCCTCACACTTTTGAGCACCATGTAAATATTTGTTGCATTAATAAATAAGTGATAAAGACTCCAGGGAAGGACTTACACAGCAGAATATTCCCTCAGAAGGCTGTGTTGGGTTAGATGATCCTTTGATACTTCATTCTCTTTTCTGGTCTGAATCCTTGTGTCTCCTTTAATGTAGATTTTAAAAAGACTTCTCTTCATTCTTTTCAGACTGCTATTTTTAATGATACAGGCACCCAGGGAGCTTGCATATGCTTTACTGATGACAAGTTACAGAAATGATAGAGCTAGTGTCTCTCAAAACAACACCCCAATCCACCCCCTATGAGTTCTGGCTGCCTGTGGAAGAGCAGGTGCAGAAAGTCTTGACCATGTGCCCAAGGGCAGACAAGGGACTCTGGCTTGACCTCATGTGACCTCTAGTGTTCTTTCACTGGTCCTGTGCCAGAGTCCCTCTAAATAGCAGAAGAAAGTCATCTTTGATTTGGAAGAATGGAATGCTGTCAATTCTGTAATACTAGGATATGGGAATGAAGGGCAGACATATGTGAATAAGGGCTGTCCCAAATATGTGAATAAGTAACAATTATTTTATACTTTAAAGCCCTATATTTTTGGGCCTCCAGGTTTTGGTGCCAGTGATGTCTTTTGTGTGTGTATGTATGTGCGTGTGTACTTGAATCACCCATGTAATATGCTAGCACCATACCAGGTAGCACACTATAGATAATGTGTTTGCACTTTGCTTTTCCATTTAACACTATATTCTGGAAGTCACTCTATATGAATTACTAAAGGTCTTCTTCCTCCTATAAAACTCTTTAAAACAAAAGAATAAGCTTATACAGAAAGTTGCTTAAAGCATCTTGAAAAAAATTGTTACTCTGATGAAATAATTTATTGACATTTTGTTGAGTAATCTCTTGGCTAAACTGCCTACTAGATTTAGTTTAATAGTTAATTATCAACTACCTTTGGATGCACACTTCTCATAAATATCATAATAGAAAAAAATTTATTTCTGCAAAGTAACCAGAAAAGACTAGAACATTTTCACCTATCAGGAGCAGTAACCAGTGAATCACAGTAACTATCACAGTGAAAACAATAGTAAAATAGTCTAGAATTCTATTAATTCATGGAGATACTAACCTGAAGCTTACCATTTCTGGACCTAAAAAGTGAAAAATATAAATGCAATTGCAAATAGTCTCTGTCCATCTACTAAAAAAGGACTAATTACTTTTAAGAAGTTTGGAAGCCCACAATTAATCTACGAAAGACTGACCCAGTTAGGCCTTTTTCTTATTTACCCCTCACAGCAGTTTTCTGGAGACCTTTGACTGTCAGTTCTGTGCGGCTGGGATGGTGTGAGGATAGGGAATAGATAAGATAAACCTCAGTTTCTATTTATAAAATCTTAAGAGTTGTTAAGATGATTATATGATGTAATTCATATAATGACGCTACAGTAAATGCCCAGTAAGTGTTAGTTGTTAATATTGTTGTTACAGAAGTGATACAGATGTTTATCTTGGGAGATAACCAGGATAACTAGTAATGCTGACTGGCTTTACCCAGTTAGTCACAATTAGTGAGACTATCCTGGTGTTAAAATGAACAGGGACTGGAGCTGGGATGCATTTCATGTGCTGGCTCACCGTTTCTCCCTCCTTCTACTTACAGGTTTAAGATAGGCCACGTTGCTGTGACGAATGTCATTCAAGAGCTGATCTCTGGGAGTGATTTCCACCAGCGGGGGTGGCCTATTTTTCGGCACTGGTTTGAGTGTTTTGATCACGTCTTTGAGGTTGGTTTTCTCCTGGGGGTCTCTGGCCTCTGGCATTCGAGATTTGCGCTGGATCCTCTTCACCTTCACCACCCGGAAGGAGTCCGGGTCTGTCCTGTACTGTGGAGGCTGTGATGGCTTTTTCATCATTTCATTTCTTCTTGCTTGAGTGTTAGCTGGTTGAGAAGGTTGGAGTAACTCCTGCATTCTAGAATCTGGCATAGGTCCCCCCAACATCTCCCACATCCCAGGTGGCAGCCCCAACCCATTCTCCAACATGGCTATTAACTTTCTCTGCTCTTTGAGTTGCTGCTGTTTCTGTTCTTCTTGTCTTTTCTGCCTTTGTTTATCCTGGTTTCTGGTGAGCAGATTGGTTACCACCATTCTCGGACCTGGAAGTTCAAAATGGTAGCCCATCTTCAGGAGAGTGTTATTTGCCTTCAAAAGCCTAGAGATTTCCATTTCAGCATGGTGACCCAACATGTGCCTCTGATTGTGAAACCGAAGTTCAGTTAGTGTCTCATTGAACTGGAGACACCTCATGATGGCCACGATTCCTTTACCTGTGATGAAATTAGACTCGATGTTGAGAGTCGTTATACTCCTATTTTCACGCAACATGTTAGCCAAGGCAAACGCTACATTCTCATCTGCACCCACATTTGCTAAACTGAAGGTTTTGATGTGTTTGTTTTTCTTCATTGCATTGACAAAGTCCAGCAACATTTCTTTGGGGATGTTTTCAATGTTGTTCAGGTTGAGTTCCTTCATGTCAGGATCATTTTGTCTAACCCGCCTCAAGCTCCCATCCAGGTCTGTTTGGTTTCCTGAAGGCCTTGCACTTACCTTCAAAAAACTGGTATCAAGAGTTAACTTCTTAGGATCTAACTTTGATATTTTTCTCTCACTTTTTTCTTGTGCCTCTGGTTTGTCTTTCTGGTTTTCAAATGATTTATTGATTACCTGTTGGCAGTTTCTTTCACCATTTCTGATTTTCTCTTTTATTTCACATTCCTCTTCTCTTTTTATTTTTTCATCACTCTCTTCACTAGTATCTTCTCCTTCATCATCTTCATCTTCTTCATCATCATCATCTTCTTCTTCTTCTTCATCATCATCATCATCATCATCATCATCTTCACCATCATTATCTGTTTCTTGGATATTGTTGCCTCCCTTTGATTCTCTTTTATTTGCAATAATTTCATTATTGAGTTTTTCTTTTAAATACTGGGACATATTTTTATTACCTTTGTCTATTTCTTCATGCTTCTTTGGAGTGTTTTCCTAAAAGAAAGGGTTATGGGATTAGAATACACAGCAGGGACAAAATGTGAAGCAAAGCAATACCTACTGGAAATAACACAAATATTTATTATTAAGGGAAAAAAGCAAATAGACTGTATATATAGTATCTTTTTGTGCATATGTGTGTATATATATAAGTACACAATACACTATACCCTATTTGTGTATGTGTGTATAAATATATTTATAATATAGAAAAGCTTATAAATGAATAGAAAAAAAGTCTGTTGTATTAGTTGTCAAATTAGTAGTTATCTCTAGAGAAGAAAGATAATTATTAAGACAACTGAGGAGGAAGATTTTTCACTTTTTGCATTATACAACTCTGTTGTGTTTGACTTTTTTTTTTTTAAAGAATTGAATATGCACATTAGTTTTGTGAGCAAATACAAGCACATAAAAATAAAATTTTAAGATATACACACAAGTACACATTTTTAACTGTGTTTGTCTCATCTAGTAAGATGAAACCAAGTTAATTTTGTTCTGAGATTCTGTATTGCTTATTTTAATAGCTACATTCAGTAGCAGTTGAAATTATTTGTCTTGACAATCTTATGGAGCTATAAATACATTGAAATTTGCTTTGTATGTGGTGGAATAGACATCTTTACATTTAATAGTCCTAGGTTATACATACAATAATTTTCTTATTGTCCTAAGTAAAGTTTACATTCCAAAAGTGCTTGCTAATCTAGTATGATGTCAATATTAAACATATTGTGTAGGAAATTAGAGCAGTTTGATATTTTGGAACATACCAAAACCTTGACTTTGTCTCCTTTGGTCAGTTAAAGATGCCCTGATTACTTCTAGGGCAGACTCACTAGAATGGTTTCTTTGGTAGGAAATTACTTAGAAGGCAGTGTCAGCCACAAAAGGGGACAAGATCACACAGAAATTTTAAAACAATTGCTTAGACTGAAAAAGAAAATGACAGTTTATTAGATTCTTGCTCATCAATTAGTATGCTTTCCTATAAAGTATGGGTACCTCATAAATGTGTTTGAAAGATATTGTAGCAATTTGGGACACAGGTTCATCAGAGCAAGAACTTGACCTTACTGTTCATAACATAAGCAGGACTTGAGAATTGACAAAGCTTAACCTTCTAAAGCCTTCACCACTGCATTTCTCATCTGTTCCAGCAGGTGGAGCCAACCATCAAGCTGTTTAATTCACACACATTAGTTATAATAAGTGTTAAAAATGACCCTCAATCCCCACCCCCCCCAGGAAATTTGTATTCATATAGAATTGTTTTTCACTGAAAATGTAAAATATCTGCAAATTTTCCCTTCAACTATAACCTGATCTAGCCAGCAATTTTTATTTTGTGGTGCTTAGTACATGTTTAAACTCCCTTGACCCAGAAACCAGTTTACAACTTTCTTTAATTATAACCAGTGAGATAGTAATGTGACAAGATACATCTTTATCAGCAGACATGAACAAAAGAGAATTAACCTTGGATTTCTGTCTCCTTTTTTGCTAAGTCATTTTAAAATGAGACATTAAAAAATTGCTGACATATAATAAGTTCATAGATTCAACCAACCACAGTTCCAGTTCTCAGAGAATGGTGGGAAATGGGCAGTAGTGTCCATTTGAGGAGGCATGAACCTATTCCCCTAAATCATATACAGTGTTGTAAGCCAATGTTATCTCAATAAAGGAAAAAAAGAACATTTAAGAAAGCACTATTTTAAAACTGTTTTATAGCTATCAATTTCTAAATGTTATCACTCATATCCAATGTGCTGTGGGGATATTAGATATTTTCAGTTATTTTGACTTGGTGTAATTGTAGGATGTGTGGCTGGCCTTTAGAGGGACTGTGACACCCTTGAAATTGTATATAAAATTTTGCATCTATATGGGTATATATATACATGGTCCAAAAGAGAGCTTCAGATGTTAGAGAGGATACCGCTCCTTAAAGGGGCCTATGTGCAAACAAACAAACAAGCCAAAGCAACAACTGCTTCTGGTTGTGAGTTAACTCATTAAGTTAACTATAGAATACAGACTTTCCTGCATTGCAAATCCATAGAATTTTTTTAAAAAGACATTTGCAAGAAATTGCAAACTTTCTCATACAACTAAATCAAGTGTTTCAGAAAGTTCCAATCTATAGTAGGATTAAATATTATGATTTAATCTACAAGTGGAAGCAAAACAAGACAAAAACATGGAATCTTGAGGAATGGCAGTTACAACAAAGGTACCTGACAGCTCCAGCACCATTTCTCTGTAGGGCACAAATCCCTAGTTACCTTGGATGCCACAAAGGTGAGAGGAACACGTTCGTCTTCCGTCATGCGTCTGGATGCCTTTTGCAAATACATATAATCAACAAGAGACTTATGGTCAAAGTTTCCAGTTGGTGGTTTCTCAGTTTGATCTTTCTGAATCATTCCCACAGGAAGCCTGGGGTCAGGGGCCATGACTTCCATTTCTGATTGTAGTTCTTTCAGCTCTTCAGGGGACAAGTTGGCCAAGATTTCATCTTCATCAATCTCTCCACCAAAGAGGTCTTCTTGATCTAAATTCCTGCTGTGTTCTGACATGATTTTTTTTCTATATTTTTCTGTCTTACTAAAGAAGGAAATACAATAAGAGATAGTTATTATTTTTTTAAAATTCTTAAGAAGTTTCCCTAGTTAACAAGTGTCCTGAGTTAACACTACCTTGAGAGAATTCCCTCCTCCAAGAACTGGTGCTTGCTGAGCAGCGAGGAGTGACTACAGCTCAGCTCATGCAATCTCTATATTAAGCAGGACTTGGCTGGATAGGGTCAATTTATGGAACTACTACGCTGCTCTCTTTTTGGCAACTTGAGTCAGCTGCACAAATCCGTCTGACATTTCAGTACAGCTGCTTAGGTTCGGCAGTGCAACTGGCCTACACAATCTCTGCAGGAATAAAATGTGTTCTTTTCCTACATGAGCTCACATTGTCACACACAAATTCATGCAACCCATATCCACATACCTCACTACTGCAGGAGAGACCACCTCTTTTTATTTAAACGATGAAAGCAACGTACAATATTTTGAAAGGAAAATCCACACAAGGACTTGAGTTCTATTGAGCTGAAAAATTCTCTTGATGGTGGAAATAAAGTTCTCAGGACTTCCCTCTTCACTACAATGTGATTCTGGAAGCAAGTAACCCTGCTCACAGCAGAGGTCTGACTGTGTTACTCATCTGCTGTGTAAGCTGAACCTTTGCAAGTTGTCCTTATTTGCATCTAGATCCTGTGATGGAACAGATGGGGACAACTGGCACTTGAATTTCCACGAGTAAGGACTATAATATTTTAAATAATTTGTTTTTCTTATTAAGTTATTTATCAGGCTAGTATAAATTAAAATGACTCAAAGTTAAAATGTAAAAAGCTCCAACTGGAAGAAACCATAAGATTTTTTTTTTCACAACCTCAGAGGGAATAGGGTAGTATTTATTTAAATGACAAATTGTTATTTCCTTTGATCCAGCAATTCCACTTTTCAGAATGTGTCCTATGGATATATTCCCACATTGGTGAAATGATAGGTGTGCAAGATTATTCAATATAGCAATTATGAAACAATAATATTTGAGGCTATTTGTATAATAATGGTTAAAAAGAATGTATGTATATGTACAAATTTCATCCACACAACAGATCCTTGGAAAGATACACAGGTAACCAGTATCTTTGGGTACTTGTCAAGAGCAGAACTGACTTCTGGGAAGAAGACTGTTACTATCTACTTCTTTACAGTTATCAAATTTTGAAGTTCTGAATGTAATGCTTGTTCAAAAATATAAACTTATTGTACAAAAGTTAGGGAAACAAAGAAAATAAATGTTTCCCTTTATCACTAAGACCAATCACTACTGTAAGCTGTCCATCATTCCAGTCCTTTCTTCTGGACATATGAACTCAGTAACCTATGGTGATCTGCTTTTTTGACTTACAAAATCAAAATTTCTCCACCCGCAGGCAATTGCGTAATTTACTGCTATGCAATTTTTAATGTTATGATTGTTTACTTGATATTCCATGGTTTATGTAACCAGTCTCCACTTGTTGGATATTTGGACTGTTTTTCATTCTTACAAGTAAAAGCAGTTATGTGATGAATATTCATGGAGTTAAATATTTGTACATATGCAAGATTTTTTCCTTAGTATAAACTGGATACATTATAAGAAGTGAAATTTCTGTCCCAAAGAATATAAAGAAATTAAAAGCTTTGCATACGTGTGGCTAAGTGACTTCCCTCAATATTACATATGAGATGTGGGACATATATGTATATACACATACACACACAGTGTAATATATGTAAAATCATCTGCAAATTAAATGCATTGTTACTATTTCAGTGTTACATGTAATTATTAATATTATATACAAAATAAATACTAGATAAAGATATTAATTAAATTATATAAATACTTACACATGCATAATATATAACCCTATATTATTAACTATATTTGATATTACATTACATATACTTATTGTATCACTACATAATATCTTGAACATATTATTTATATACAATATATACTATATAATATGTAATGTATACTATTTATATGTAAATATTATTGTAATAATATTTATAAATGAATTTTGGGCACATTTTAAATTTATACACATACACAAATTTATCAAATCATGTAAAAAAAAGAATTTTTAAATGGAAATTCTAATGTTTTCTTCCTATCCCAGTGGTTTATCTTAACTATCCCCAAACTGAGAGACTTTGCATATATCTAGCTAAGTTTATTTCCGAGAAAGTCACTACTGGTGTAGGGATCATTTTTAAAGTAAAGAACACAGGGGTAAAGGGCTGCCTTGCTGTAAAAGGGAAGCCAGGGCTTGGCCTCATGGGAGGGACGAGGTCACTTTGTTGTGCACTGAGCTGCAGACCATCCTTTCATAGACTCAGTTTGCAGAACAGTGTCAAAAGAGAGTTGTGTTCAAAGAGATTAGGGAAATGTTATATTCTACATTTGTGTTTTACAGATCTGTAAGCATGTAAGTTTTTAGAGACTCTAAGATATCCTGTACTACAGAAACCCATTTGTTTAACCCAGTGTTCCCTGATCTTAGTTACTTCATGCTTTTTTTTTCTTCCCTTTCAAGAAACACCTGGTAGTAGCCAGTGCAGTTAGTTTTTAAAATCCATGTTTTAGGAAATATTTGTCTAAATATAAGAGAACGGTCTGAAGTTGGGTGACATTATGGCAACCTGAGTAATTCCTTTTCCTCTTCCCCTTTAATTTGCAATAATTAATTAAATATCATAATCAAACAAGATTTGGAATCAGTCCACTGGATTCAAGTCCCGGCTTGTCTCCTTAGTAACTTAGTGCTGTTGGCCAATTTAGCTAATTTCCTTACCGAAAAAGGAAAGGGGAATAATATTTACCATATGCTATTATTGAGAGTATTAAATGAAATTATATGTAAATTAAGTAAGATAGTCTAGGCACAGAAGAAGGCCCTTAGTTAATGTTAAATATTACTGTTCTCATATTTCATGAATAACCACAGAAACATTGAAAGAAAAGCAAAGGCAATTGTAAAATGTAATACATTTTATAAACAACTTCCATGATAGGAACCATTATGTAAAGCCAATAAGCAAAAGGGCTTAAAAGAAGTGTTGCTTTTACAGAATGCAACTCAGATATTTTCAGATGGAATTGTGTGTAAAGAAAATAGAAAATTACCATTTGCATGTAGATGTGAAGCTTTACTGAGGAAATGATCTGAATTGTTGCTTGTAAGCTTTCAGATTCAAATTCTGTTCTGATGAATCCCAATTGTTCTAATGTGACCAAATATTTCTGATGATCAAGCAGATTTAGGGATTTCTGTCAGGTGCTGTCTTTCAGCTAACTTCCATCTTACTGAATAAGTCTAGGAAGTGGCTACATTTCTCCCAGCTGCTTCCACTGTACATTTTACCTAGATGCTGACAGAGAGGGTTTAGCTGGTGTAATTAGCCTCATTTGACATACAAATGATTTAGTTGCACTTTCTCTTGATGATGTTTGCTGCTGCCACGTCAGCAGCTTCTCACATCAGAATCCGCCTTTGGCATCTGCCAGCTAAGTATCTGGCTGTAGGATAATCGATTGCATTTTTATAGTCACACAGAGGGTCACAGATCAGAACTTCGGGGAAGGTTATCATGAATGCCTTGGACTGCAGGCTAAAGCTACTGAGTCAGAATTCTCCAGGTCTGGGTTCAGATATTTGTTTTTTGAAAGTGCATCAGGTGATTGTGATGTGTGTAGTGGGATTCACAGGGCTTGTTCAAGTCAGTCATTTCACAAAGTTCAAAACATGCTACCTTAAAATATGGTGCCATGGCATGCTGAATATTGTAAGCTAATGCAATCTGGAAAATTTCAAGTGCAGGAAGGACTCTTTGATCTTCCCCTCCTCCCTGAGAAAGATTACAAGTCCCTCACCTGAGGAACTTGTACAGAGATGGAATTTCCCTAGGCTTGGAGGAAAGGATCATCCTAAAGTGTAAAGACAGAGGGACTCTGAGAGGTCTGCAGAGTTGCCCTGTCACTAGCTGTAGCTCATACCCTCTGTTCTGTCACATTAACCCTGACTTCTCACTTGTCTCCAAACTTACCATAATGATATTCATTTCTTGAGGTCTTCTTGAGGTCGTCATTTCCTTATGAGAGTCACAGTGCCAAGTAAAAGGGATATACTAAGTAAATGTATATGCTTTTCTTGTTAATCTTGTCTTTTGTCGGTTCAATTTACAGGTCTCCAGCTGGAAAGCCCAGGATGCCAAGTAAGCCTCTTCTCCTCAGTTACTTTATCTGTAAAAGTGGGATAATAAATGTACCTACATTATAGGATTTTTTATTTTATTTTTTTAAAGATTTATTTATTTATTAAAGATGTATTTACTTATTTATACAAGCACTGGGTACAGTCAGAAGTGCAGAAGGGTGAGAGAATTCACCAGAGACAGAGCAGGGATCAGAAGAAGCAGACTGACGAAACACACTGCTGAGGGGAGCAGAGGACGCAGCAGGAGAGGTCTGCACGCCACGTGGGACCCTCGCCTGTGGCCGGGGATCGAACCAGCGCTGCAGAGGCTACGGGCAGCTTTGCAGCCCAGCGCTCAACCGCTGCACCACCAGGGGAGGCCCAAGATTTATTTGTTTATGCATCCAAGAGCGAGGGTACAGGCCAGAGGTGTGGGGAGAGGGTGAGAGGATTCGCCAGAGACAAGAGTGGGGAGCAGAACAGGCAGATCAACTGAAACACACTGCTGAGGGGAACAGCGGGCTAGTCATGAGAGGTCTGCTGCGCCATGTGGGTAGCTCCCTGGCTGGGCATTGAACTTGTGCTGCAGTGGCTGCAGATAGCTTCATAGGTTGTGTCTTAACCCCTTGAGTCACCAGGGAGGCCCCATTATAGGAATTTTTAAAAACCTACATGGTGGGGCCTCTGTGGTGACACAATGGGTTGAGCGCAGTGCTGTGAAGCTGTCCGCAGCCTCTGCAGCACGGGTTCGATTCCCAGTTGGCC